TAAATGGTGGGCTCTGAAGACCATATGATGAAAGATCCTCCAGAATGAATTTGTCATTGTCTTGCTGCATCTTCTACACATTCCGTTTCCATCGCTCATGTGAGCCCAGGCTAATTCTCCCCATCCTGTGATAAGGGGAACATAGCCTACGGGAAGGAATTAGCAACATTCTTTGTGGTTGTATCTCACATTAAAAATATATATATAAAAACTTAACAAGCACAAAACATTGGGAAGAATTATTTGTGTTCTTTTTAAGAGTTAAGTTATCCTTTAACAGCAAGAATAAAGTCACTTTGGTAATCCTGGCCCAATGGGTATAATGAAATGTATTTTTAGCAAACGTGAAATATGAATTTAGATTGTTACCAGAATAGGTTAAATGTTAATGAATCCTCCTTCTTATATGTCAGAGCGCTATTGAAAAATGAATTCACAGAGGAATGTAAGGGGAAAAAGACCTTTACTGGGCTCTGTGCTTATAATAGCATATCCTGCTGTTTAAATGTGTTTGATGTGAGATAGAAATAGCCGGGGCGAGCTGTGTGGCCAGTGTGTTCTATCGTGCCTGTGATGTCTCTAGCAGAATCTTGTAGAAGAATTTCTTTTCAAAAGAAACATCCACAGCATAGAAGTGTATACTAGGATTCCTGTGAAAGAGATCAGGGCAAAAAGAACCACTGTGTTTTTAGGATGAGTACTAAAAGACAGCGTTACACACTAAGGACCCTTTCACACTTGTGTCTGTTCTTTGTGCAGTCCGTTGTGGTGCAGTTCATTGTGAATGGCACAGCAACGTCATTGTGCTTTACTGTGAATGGCAACCCAACACACTGCACCGCACCATACACCGTATGATGTGGTGCACTGCATTTTTAAAAAGGGGTCATGTACATTTTTTTGTCTGTTGCATGCTGCTGTAACACAATGCACATTAACGCATGCTATAGTGCATGTTGACTGCAGTGGATAGCTTAAGTGTGAATGGACCCTTATTGTTGCTCACCCCTGCCAGGCATCACAGCCAGGTCATTGACCCATTTTCCAATATTATCGTGATTTGGTAAACAACCCAGCTTGCTAATTGGGCAATAAAGCAACATACTGACATGCTCATCACTTCACTCAATGGGTTCTCTCTTGTTGTCAACATGTACACTGTGGCTAGCCCAGCTGGGACTTCATTGAACAGTTGACACCTGGCATGCTTGCCTAGGGGGCAAATAGCCCCCCCAGGCTGTGATCTCCTCCTCAGGGACAGTACACTTCTGTTCCAGGTATCATGCTGTTTATACACCTTCCCAGCAACCATCTGTGCATTCTTCCACTGGGATTGGCTAAGACAGTATAAATATTCATGCTGTCCATTTTTTCTTACTCCACACCTATGTTCCAGAACCACCCAGAAAGTTCTGGATTGCAGGGACATTAGTCAAACCTGCAGCCTATGAAACACAGAACAGACCTAAACAATCACATGCAACGACACTGATTACATTACTGATTCAATTTACGGAACCTGGCGCCTATCTAGGAGGGTGCTACACTAGTGAAGTCTCATGGCTTCCTGGAGTTCTGGTTTAATCACAGTTCCTTTTTTATGGCAAGCACATGAACCCATACCACTAATTTTACTACATAAAATACTTTAATAATACTTTTTTTTTTATATTATGTTATGATATTTAATGTTAATTAAGGAGATTCTATACATCATTTCCCAACCCTTTCATGTGCTGTGTGTTACAGTATATAAAGCATTGCACTGATACAATGCAGCAGATTATATTGTATGTAAATATGCATGAAGCATGTTATTTCTGGCACAGATGTGATTTAAAGTACTTTATATTTTTCGGTCATCACCCTTTATATTTTGTACTTTTAGATGTAAGGGTGGGGGAATGCTGTATAGAATCTGAAATGAGCAATGATAATTGATTACAGCTGCTAATATTAATTGTTTTAGGTTTTTATGGGTGTAGTTAGTGCAGAGTATTTTATTTCACATTATAATTATTACTTATTGCTGTGCAATTAATGATTCTCATCCTACAGGCAACTGAGACACCCGACACGTAGCAAATATAACCAGTCATTAAAGAAGGAGGTGCTTGGTTCAGGATATAGACACCAGGGGACAAGAATAGTACTACTACCAGTACTAATATACTGTATAGTAATACTAAAAATGGCATTTTTTTTTTAAATGTAAGTACTTATCAATGTCATACTTATGCAGAAAATATAGCATAAATTCATACAAGCCTCAGAATGCTCTCTTTATCATTTCCTGTAAGTACAAATGGAAATCAATAGAGAAGAAACTGCTTACCAAAGCACTGTGCCTGAACCTGTTAGCCTGTGCTAATGATAATTAATGTTCTCTGCATTACTAATGAGTGCTATTAACCTATAGGTAACACTTACCCCATATTCAGTTTAAACAGTTCTATTAATATGCAAATAATCTTGAAAAGGACTCATATAGAATCTACAGGATTAGGTTTTATTTTTTTTTAGTTCATCTGATACAACCTGTCAAATTTTATTCTCAGTTGTTACACTACTAGGGATCTAGGAGGTATCTCCACATCCAAATGTTTCCGATGGATAGTGGAGACTAGTTTATGAAGATAGACACTCACCGGCCACTTTATTAGGTACACCTTGCTAGTAATGGGTTGGACCCCCTTTTGCCTTCAGAACTGCCTCAATTCTTGGTGACATAGATTCAGCAAGGTATTGGAAACATTCCTCAGAGATTTTGGTCCATATTGACATGAGTTACTGTTGCCTTTCTAGCATCTTGAACCACTCTGCCCATTCTCTTCTGACCTTTTACATCAACAAGGCATTTTCATCCACACAACTGCAGCTTACTGGACATTTTCTCTTTTTCGGACAATTCTCTGTAAACCCTAGAGATGGTTGTGCATGAAAATCCCAGTAGATCAACAGTTTTTGAAATATTTAGACCAACCATTCTGGCACCAACAACCATTCCACGTTCAAAGTCACTTAAATCCCCTTTATTCCAAATTCTGATGTTTGGTTTGAACTTCAGCACATCATCTTCACCACGTCTAGATGTCTAAATGCATTGAGTTGCTGCCATGTGATTGGCTGCTTAGCAATTTGTGTTACCAAACAATTGAACAGGTGTACCTAATAATGTGACCTGTGAGTGTAGATTCTGTATTCCTGCACTGTTGGCCATCCAAGAGGCAGCTGTGATGCCAGAAGATGAGGGGAAACCTTATTTTATTTTGTCTCTCTTTAGACTTTAATATTTACATAAGCAAGACAAAGACTTAAAGCCCAACGCCAGTCAAAATGTTATTCGAGTTTTTCAATAAAGCTGTGAAGTACAGAAGCATTTCTCCGAATCTGATTCCTGTGGGAGATTTCCCCTTACACCCTTTCCAAGTTGTGGTTATCCAATAGAACAGGAAGTCAAGGGAACTCTCCCCAACAGAGATACAGACAGCAACAAAACCTGGAAGAGGTTTATCTTCCCAGTAGTTTTTATTGAGTAATTCTAAAGTGGACATTCGCTGTAAGAGACATGTTGTGCTTTCTCCCCCCTCCCTCTTTTACAAATTTATTTTTATTAAGTGATTTATTTGTGCTTCTTTGAAGGCAAGAATTTGCCTGTGCAGAAGTGCCAGAGGATTGGGGTCCCTGTGCATGCACTAATTTCCCCAGCCATCTGTGCACATGCATTCTTTCAGATTTTTTGTTTGGAAGGACCCAAAGGTCAGGCAGAGCCCAAAGGCACATCTGCCATAATGGTGGCACACAGTGATGTATTTTGCGTATTTTGGTTTTGTGCTGCCCCTCCCATCTAAATTTGTCCCACCCCTTCCTGTTAAAGATCCACCCCTTCATCAGTAAACCCCACCCTTTCCTCTTTAGGCTTCACCTCTTCCCATTAGAGCTTCACCTCTAGGAGAGGTGGGGTTATTGTTTAGGGTGGAGAGGCAGGAGGGGTTATTGTTTAGGGTGGAGAAGAAGGGAGGGGGGTTATTGTTTAAGGTGGAGAGGTGGATGGTTGTTTAGGGTGGAGAGGCAGGGAGAGGTTATTGTTAAGGGTAGGGAGGGGCTATTGTTTAGGTTGGAGAGGATGTTATTGCTTATGGTGGAGAGGTGGGGTATTTTGTTAGGGGGGAGAAGTGGGAATGGGGGTTATTGTTAAGCATCAAGAGGGGGGTTAATGTTTAGGGGGGAGCGGTGGGGGAAGGGGGTTATTGTTTAGGGTGGAGAGGTGGTTATTGTTTAGGGTGGAGAGGGGGTTATTGTTCAGGGTGGAGAGGGGGAATTATTGTTTAGGGTGGAGAGGTGGCGAGGTTGTTATTGTTGTTTAGAGTAGAGAGGTGGGGGGGGTATTTTGAGGGTGGAGAGGTGGGTTATTGTTTAGGGCGGAGAGGTGGGGAGGGGGATTATTGTTTAGGGTGGAGAATCAGGAAGGGGGTGTATTTGGGAACCCCACAGCTGCCAATCACTGCCCTACACTACAGTACTGTGATAGGTTGTCACCTATACAATAAGTGCATCTGTGAAACTTCCTTGCTACTAAATATTCCACGGTCAACTGTTGGTGGTATTATAACAAAGTGGAAGCAGTTGTAAACAACAGCATCTGAAAGCCACAAAGTGGTAGGCCATGTAAAATGTAGAGGGGGTCAAAGCATGTAGAAGTCACCAACTGTCTGCAGAGTCAATAGCTAAAGACCTCCAATCTTCATGTGGCCTTCAAATTAGCACAACAGTGCATACAGAGCTTCATGAAATGGGTTTCCAAGGCCGAGCAGTTGCATCCAAGCCGATCTCCGATCCTCTCCTTCTTCCAGTGTCCCCCTCTTATCTACTGATAAAACATATGTGTGGAGACACTCTGCACATGCTCTGTTTTATGTGTATTGCTAGAGAATTTTTTTTTTTTCTTGAGAGAGTGCATGTGATCAGCACAGGGCCAATCAGCACTGTCCAGACAGGTGTCAGGGGTTTTGCATCCTCCTAGAGCCGAACGTAAACTCTTCCTACAAGCTTTAACCAGGGCTCTGCTAGACACTTATAGAAGTCACAAGACTGCTCTAACTGCTGATGAGAAAAGGTATTTAGCAGTTTATATTTACTAAAATAATTGCATTTCCATGTTGTGTGTACTGTGGGAGACCAGATATAGTGAATACAGAGTCCTGAGTCTAGTAACACTTTCAGGGTAGGCTGAAGATACTGATGTACAGGGAGTCTTGTGACGTAAAGGGGGGGGGGGGGGGGGGGGTGATGTGCTATAGTGCAAACATAAGATTTTGTACCTCTGTCAGAAGAACAGTTTACTGACTGGACCTTTGCAATTTTTCATTGAAGACCCCTGACCTACAGGTTTAGGACAATATCTTGTTTGTGTTGAGTTTTTATTATCTTACTATGTTTGTCATCTAACACATGAAGTCTTAACGCTTACAGAGAAAGTTTAATTTGTGAGATGAACAAATGTTGTTTTAATCTTCATACGCTGCAGGTGTCTTAGTATTTTCAAGACTGTGTTTTGCTTAGTAAAACATTCTGGCAGCACAGATTTCATAGTTATCTGGAAAACAGTATTTATTTTTTGGTAGCAGATTCAGATGGCACACTTTGAAAACAGCATGTAGGATGGCTGGGCACCGGTCCTATTTTGTCATGGTATAGGCATACATTTCATGTACGTTTTTGAATCCTTTCTAAATGTTACAAATATACAAACACCCCCTGAGCATTTCTGGGCTTTTTTCCTTTTTCGCATGTTAAAAAAAATGTTTGTGCTTTGAAAGCTTGGAACTAAATCCCACAGTAGTAGATGTCTTGACGATTAAACTGGAATTGGTTAGTAAACAGTGACATGTTGTATACAGTGCAGGGGCAGACTGACAACTCATGGGGCCCCCGGGCAATAGGGGATCATGGGGCCCCTGTGTCCTTGCCCAAACTCAAAAAAAGCCTATGATAAAGGTACCAGGGGCATCTCATGGGGCCCCCTACTGACCTCGGGCAGTGCCCGAGTTTCCAAATGGTCAGTCCGCCCCTGATACAGTGGGAAAAGGCTTAGTAAAATGTCGTGTTGTAATGGAAGATTGTACAGTATGTGAAACAGGAACCTCATCTAGTCTTTTGAATGCTGCTAAGGGCTGTTTTGCACAGGCAGCCAGGGGGAGGGAAAAACAGGTTTTTTATGCACCCCCCCCCCTCCCCCTGGCTGCCCACCTGACACTGGTGCTCCCCCCCCCCCCTCGATTACCCAGCTCTGACATTACAGCCCGACAGGGCTGTACACATATCACAGCATTTTTTAAGTCATCATGCACTGCCTATCAAACTCACCCATTGAGATCAATGGGGCAGCATTGTAACCGCGTGCCTACTTAATTAGCATAAAAAGTATTAAACACAAACCACTCTTATTTGATGTCCTGAGTTATTTTAAAGTGTTACTAAACCCACAACAGTAAAATCAGTCTGTATATGCAGTAAAACATGCTTGTTATACTCACTGTGGAACCTAAGGGGTTAATCCTCTGCATTGTGTAAAAAGGCTGTTTGATCCTGTCTTCTCTGCCCCTCCTCTTGTCCACGCTGATAGGACAGACTGAACCCATAGCCCTTCTGCACATGCACAGTTTGGTGTCTATGGCTAGAGAGGGGTTTTTTTTCTTTAGAGTGCATGTGATCAGCACAGGGCAATCAGCACTGTCCATAGGTTTCACATCCTCCTAGAGCAGAAAGAAAACTCCTATAAGCTTTAACGAGTGCTCTGCTGAAGTCACAAGACTGATCTAACTGCAAATGAGAAAAGGTATTTGGCAGTTTATATTTACTAAAATAATTGCATGTTCATGTTATGTGTACTGTGGGAGACCAGATATAGTGAATGCAGGGTCCTGGGTTTAGTATTTTCCATGTTCTGTGTACTGTGGGAGACCAGATATAGTGAATGCAGGGTCCTGGGTTTTTTCCAGTATTTTCCATGTTCCGTGTACTGTGGGAGACCAGATATAGTAAATGCAGGGTCCTGGGTTTAGTATTTTCCATGTTCCGTGTACTGTGGGAGACCAGATATAGTGAATGCAGGGTCCTGGGTTTAGTATTTTCCATGTTGTGTGTACTTTGGGAGACCAGATATAGTGAATGCAGGGTCCTGGGTTTAGTATTTTCCATGTTCTGTGTACTGTGGGAGACCAGATATAGTGAATGCAGGGTCCTGGGTTTAGTATTTTCCATGTTCTGTGTACTGTGGGAGACCAGATATAGTAAATGCAGGGTCCTGGGTTTAGTAACACTAAGTCTGTGTAGAGAGGTTTTTAATGAAGGTATCGACTACGTAGTGATAAACAAATGACTATTTACCATCAATAACTAACAATCACATATTTGTCTAATTTATTGTGATACGTAAAAATGACATTTAGATCAATAGCATATTACTTTATCAGTAATAAGTATAACCATATACAGTGGGGATCGAAAGTTTGGGCACCCCAGCTAAAAATTTGTATTAATGTGCATAAAGAAGCCAAGGAAAGATGGAAAAATCTCCAAAAGGCAGCAAATTACAGATTAGACATTCTTATAATATGTCAACAAAAGTTAGATTTTATTTCCCATCATTTACACTTTCAAAATAACAGAAAACCAAAAAATGGCTTCTACAAAAGTTTGGGCACCCTGCAGAGTTAATATCTTGTACTGCCCCCTTTGGCAAGTATCACAGCTTGTAAATGCTTTTTGTAGCCAGCCAAGAGTCTTTCAATTCTTGTTTGAGGTATCTTTGCCCATTCTTCCTTACAAAGGTCTTACAGTTCTTTGAGATTTCTGGGCTGTCTGTCACACACTGCTCTTTTAAGGTCTATCCATAGATTTTCAATTATGTTGAGGTCAGGAGATTGTGAAGGCCATGGCAAAACCTTCAGTTTACGCCTCTTGATGTAATCCCCCCTGGATTTTGAGGTGTGTTTAGGATCAGTATCCATTTGTAGAAGCCATCCTCTCTTTAACTTCAGCTGTTTCACAGATGGCATCAAGTTACCATCCAAAATTTGCTGAAATTTTATTGAATCCATTTTTCCTTCTACTCGTGAGATGTTCCCTGTGCCACTGACTGCAACACAACCCCAAAGCATGATTGATCCAACCCCATGCTTAACAGTTGGACAGAGGTTCTTTTCATTAAATTCTGTGCCCCTTCTTCTCCAAACGTACCTTTGCTCATTCCGGCCAAAAAGTTCAATTTTAACCTCATCGGTCCACAGAACTTGTTTCCAAAATGCATCAGGCTTGTCTATATGTTCATTTGCAAAGTTCAAATGATGATTTTTGTGGTGAGGACGTAGAAGAGGTTTTCTTCTGATGACTCTTCCATGAAGACCATATTTGTACAAGTATCTCTTTATAGTGGAATAGTGTACCACAACTCCAGTGTCTGCCAGATCTTTCTGGAGGGATCGTGCAGTCAAACGTGGGTTTTGAATTGTTTTTCTCACAATCCTGCGAGCTGTTCTGTCTGATATTTTTCTTGGTCTTCCAGATCTTGCTTTAACTTCCACTGTTCCTGATGACTGCCATTTCTTAATTACATTCCGAACAGAGGATATTGACATCTGAAAACGCTTTGCTATTGTCTTATAGCCTTCTCCAGCTTTGTGAGCGTCAACTATTTTCAGTTTCAGTTTTCTAGACAACTGCTTAGAAGAACCCATGGTGCTGATTGTTGGGGCAAGGTCAGATGAGTCTGGGCATTTAAAATCTTTGAGATTGTCATCACCTGGTCTTCCCAGACGATGACTGAGAACAATCCATGACACTGGCAGGTCTCAGCTTTGCAAAGGGGGCAGTGCATGCTATAAATTCTGCAGGGTGCCCAAACTTTTGCAGACGCCATTTTTTTGTTTTCTGTTATTTTGAAAGTGTAAATGATGGAAATAAAATCTAACTTTTGTTGACATATTATAAGAATGTTTAATCTGTAATTTGATGCTTTTTTTAGATTTTTCCATCTTTCCTTGGCTTCTTTATGCACATTAATACAAATTTTTAGCTGGGGTGCCCAAACTTTCGATCCCCACTGTACTTATATTGGGGCCAAGGACCACAGGAGAGATCATATTCCCTATTGTTCATTCACAGTCACCACTGTCTCAGAACACAAATAATTTAAATTATATTGGTAGACAACAAGATCCACCCAATCAGTCCCTCTTCTCGAATTCTCTGCAGCAGAATGCAATGATTGAGATTACACTACTAATTACGCTGACAGAGCTCAACTTAATTACTTTGATTCCTTAAATGGAGATGACATCTTTGAATATGTAAACAAATAGTGTTGCGCTGCTCTTCATTAACCACTTGCCCTCCAGAGGATTTACCCCCCTTCCTGACCAGGCCATTTTTTTGCGATACAGTGCTGTGTTTCTTTAGCTGACAATTGTGCGGTCATGCAATGCTGCACCCAAATTAAATTTATGTCCTTTTTTTTCCCACAAATAGAGCTTTCTTTTGGTGGTATTTGATCAGCTGTGCAATTTTTTATTTTTTGCGCTATAAACAAAAAAAGACTGACAATTTTGAAAAAAAAAAACAACATTTTTGACTTTTTGCTATAAAACGTATCCAGTAAAATGCAACCCTGAATGCAAATGAGGTATATATATGTGATTTTTTTGCGCAGCCCTGCAGCAGTTCTTCTACTATAGGGTGGTCGGGAAAGCGGTTAACTAACCATCTCTATCAATAAACATACAGTGAATATACATCAAAATGTTTAAAGTGCATTCACTGTATATTTATTGATAGAGATGGTTAGTTCATAAAGAGCAGTGTGGCACTATTAGATACCATTACATGTTTTGGATGTGGGAGCACGTTAGTGATTTCACACAGTTCATAAGTAATTACCAGGCAGTGCTTTATTTATTCACCCTTGAATCTCATTAAACGCCAAAAGTCTATAAAACAAAACTATGAAAGCCTAAATTCAGTGAGATTCAGAAGTGAGATAAAATTTCGCAGTGGAGAGATTTGTTTTTGTGTCTCTTTCTTCTTCTGAGTCCCATTTCTTTTTTTTTTTCCCCAAATTTCTTTCCCTTTTATCCCCCAAATTCTCTTATCTAAGGACTAACCTAAAAAGCATAGCATAGAACAGGGCTTATAATTTCGAGTCTAGACTCACTAGCCAGGCACAAACCTTACTCTCCACCAGTTGCCCCACCCAAGCTTGCCCAGGTCCGCCTCCAACCCCACCCCCGGATCGTCCCCCAACTCCGTCTCCATCCACACCCCCTTAAAGCTTATGAAATTAAATTTTTCTTTAGAATAGAGTCCAAAATATAAAACTGTACACAGTAATGTATATCCCAGCTCCCCTGTACTCCATTATAGTGATATGACATGTATACAGTAATGTATATCCCAGCTCCCCTGTACCCCATTATAGTGATATGACATGTACACAGTATGTATATCCCAGCTCCCCTGTACTCCATTATAGTGATATGACATGTACACAGTATGTATATCCCAGCTCCCCTGTACTCCATTATAGTGATATGACATGTATACAGTAATGTATATCCCAGCTCCCCTGTACTCCATTATAGTGATATGACATGTATACAGTAATGTATATCCCAGCTCCCCTGTACTCCATTATAGTGATATGACATGTACACAGTAATGTATATCCCAGCTCCCCTGTACCCCATTATAGTGATATGACATGTACACAGTAATGTATATCCCAGCTCCCCTGTACTCCATTATAGTGATATGACATGTATACAGTAATGTATATCCCAGCTGCCCTGTACTCCATTATAGTGATATGACATGTATACAGTAATGTATATCCCAGCTCCCCTGTGCTCCATTATAGTGATATGACATGTATACAGTAATGTATATCCCAGCTCCCCTGTACTCCATTATAGTGATATGACATGTATACAGTAATGTATATCCCAGCTCCCCTGTACTCCATTATAGTGATATGACATGTATACAGTAATGTATATCCCAGCTCCCCTGTACTCCATTATAGTGATATGACATGTATACAGTATGTATATCCCAGCTGCCCTGTACTCCATTATAGTGATATGACGTGTATACAGTACTTACTCTTTGAGTCCCCCGCGGCGGTGGAGAGGGTGCCTCCTCTCAGCGGACAGCGGACCTCTCCTGCACCTGTCCCCTCAGCGGCGGTGCCGAAGAAGCCAGAAATCGGAAGTTGGAAACCAGAACTCGGCTTCACAATGAGGCTTGGAGCGCAGCCGCTCCATCATCTGTGCTCGCTGGTAGAGAATTTCTCCTCGCATTTTGCGAGCGGCTTTTTCAAGCCCTGGCATACAATATTCACCCATATTTGATTAATAGGCACTTCTATTCATCACCCTAATATTTATTTAGGCGTTGAACATACCTGTCCATTGAATGTTGCCTTAAGACCAGAATTCCTGTTTTTAGTCTCTGGAAAAAAATGTAATATTTTTATTCATGAGTTAATTCTAGATGTAGTACTCTCATAATAGTATTGATGCGGTCCCCAGTGTGGATAATCTCACGTGTGGTCTTATATCTTTAATGTTCTTTCATTTTAATTATGGGATATCTACGAATGATCCGTGCCTTATCAAGATATCACTTTTGAGGTAATAATTATTGACTCTCTAAGGACTTTTGGGTAAGTATCATATCATAATTTCACTTCCCTCTCACTTCAGCAGGGGAATGCAGCTCTGGCACCTCCAGCACTGAATGTACGCAATAGCAAGGGGTGCTGGGGTGTGCTGAGGGGTCTATTGATGCTGGCTGCTGAGGGATCTATTGTCACTGGGGAAGATCTATTTTTGCAGGGGGAAGGGAGTGTCTGTTGTTGCTAGGGAGGTCTACTGTTGCAGCTGGGGGATCTGTTTTTTCTAGGAGTGGGTCTTATGTTGCTGGGTGGTCAACTGTTGCCGGGAGGGATCTCTCGTTGTTGGTTGCTGGGGGATATGTTGTTGCTCCTGGGGGTCTATTGTTGC